CTGGCCTAGTCTGCCAGTTTTATATTCAATTGTTTAACTAATTCTGTGCCCCTTCTCAAATCAAAAATTCAGAATTAAGGAGCACCGAATTATCTGAACAACCTAATATAAGCATAATTTTACAACTTTCAAAATTTTAATTTTTTTAAAGTTTTTGACGTTTTATGGCATTTCAATAACAATACCCCCTTAAAAATTAAAAAAACTTCATTACCATCAAACAATCCAAAAACAAAGCTTACAATATATATTATACTTGTCGATCAAAGTACGACAATCAAAGAAAGCGGAAGCAAATACTAACAAACAAGAAAGTATATTCCTTTTGTTCTAAAGAATTGGTTTAACACCAAACGTATCCGAACAACAAAATATCCGCACGGTTGTAATAAAATTTTTTTATTTTTGACCTTGCTTTATTGCGACTTTCAGTTTTGACATTACAAAACTCACAATTTTAAGCGTAAAATATGTATAAAGTAAAGAACGTTACGTACTGGCCATAATGATAACTAGATCGTTAAGTAGTTTAAAATTGAGTACTCTAATAATCAGAACATGTTACCTCTGATCTTCTTAGATTATTATACAAAAATTTTTTTTAAATCAGAGCACCCATGCCAAAAATTTTTTTTGCCTCTATCCTACCTACATCAAATTTTCAAGCCTACAATATTTCAATTTAAAAACTGTTTTAAATCTTTCATTTTTCAACATCATAAAACACTGTTTACTAAGTAAACGTTACTCTACATCAAAGTTCAAAGTTTACACTATACACACTTTAATCTTATCCACCTAAGATTAAAGTGTAGTACCCCATGTTCACGAAGTGAGTATGTTTTCATTTTGAAACCTGATCATAATATCTCCCAAAGATTAAAAATTGTATTATAAATAAAAAAGAAACACACACTACGCTTTACTAGTTACACTATATGCATAGACAGTTCAACAAGACCAGCAATTGCATAAACATAGCAATACCTTTATTTGTATTAACGCGTGTGTACATAATATTAGCAAGGTAGACATAGGTACATATTGACTTACTATAGATAATATAATAAGAAACAGATAAAACGGGTGAAGTAGAGTAGGATTGGATATGGAAGATACGGCAAGGCAAGATAGGGTAAAGTAGTATAACGCAAGGTAAGGTAGTTAAAATAGGATAAAGAAGCGTAGGGTAGCGTAAAGCAGAGCAGAGTAAGAAAAATTAAACCCCTTTAACTTACCATAGCCTGTATGATACTAACACCACGATTAAATCTATAATGTCTCTATTGACTTACTACACCATTACACAGCCCCTTAATCCCTTACCTTAGCTAAAAGTGTTTCTATATGTATCTAATGTACCTAACCCATTCACAACCCAAAACCTTGTATGTAGAGTGTAAAATGAATGTTGTGAACACGTCTTTTTTCGTGCTTCATTTTAAATACCTCAATTTACTCGGTCATAACACGCAACTCGTAAATACCATTTAAGGGTCATGTTGTAAATAGCAATTTGGATTTGAGAAAAAGTCTTTTACCGCTACAAAAATATAACTTTAAAGCCAGACATTAATGTTACAGTAGAAAGCAAAGACCTAAGTGGCTCAATTTTAGGTAAAAATTAAAGGTCATCAGACAGGCTATAACATGATACGTTAGATTTAGTTCCTTGTAGTTAAAAAATTTGTTTAATAAGACAAAGATCTATATGTGAAGTAGTGTTACCAAGATAGGTCAAGGTAGATGTAAAGTCAAATTCAGTTTTGAAAAATGGAGTATGGCAGAGTAAAGTGTAGAGTAAGGTAGGGCAGAATAAAGTAGAAAAAAAGTAAATTATAAGCGGTAAGTGTAATGTATAGTAAAACAGAAGAAGGTAAAATAAAGTAGGGTAGGGTAGAGCAGTGTAGAGTAAAGCAGGATAGAGTATGATAGGATAGAAAAAAGTACGACAGGGTGACAGAGGGTAGAAAGTAAAATAAAACAGAATAACGCTGCCTTTTTTTTTGTCCCCCCCCCCCATTTTTTGAAACTAAATCCCCTTCCCTCTTTCATAAAAAATTACCGCTCCCTTCTCCCATTTCCAGACGTTTCAATAATCAGAAACATACTGAGATTTACCAAAAATTTCAAAATTTAGAAATTACGGTAATACTCAAAAAACACGGTAACCACAACTCAAGCCCAACACCAGATATCTGATCAGTTGGAGAATGTTCTCGGCCGGAAACGCAAAAAATACCCGCCTGAGGGGCGTTCACAGAACAGACGTTTGAGTGACGAACGAGGTAAAAAGGTCACTTCCATGCTTAACAACTATTTTATTAGTCCACAAAATTAAGCCAAAAATAAATGGCAAACAAACAATTTTGCAGCTTTTATTAGAAATGTCATAAATTATAACAAAAATCAGTTAAATTTTTGAAATTTTACACAGATATATTATAATAGATAGCTGGTTTTTAGAAAAACATATGTAGACATTAGAGCTAAAGTTAGGAAAACTAGTTATAATTAGACATACTAAAGTTGAAGTTGAGCATAAAAGTACATAGTACACCTCCAACCCACTTTACTTTCCTACCTTGCCTGTAGGTATAAACTTTAAATACAATATTACTATTAAAGACGTCGCTAAGAACGGGGATGGTTGTAAATAAGGGTGAATCTACCCCTGCCTCCCTCCCAGAAAAAACTTGTAGCAATGTTCCTGATTAGAACAAGAATAAGAGCGAACAAGAACATCACGTTTATCACAAAAACTCCCAATCTTCAACCTCAAAACCATACTAATTAACATTGGTCTTATCCACTTTTCCTGACACAACATAATCCCTAAACTGCTCTTCAACCACACTAAATACCACGCACTTTCTAGCTAATGCAAATATGTTGTAATACGAAGATCTCTAAAAAGTGATAACTAAAAATCATATTGACAAAATTATCGTAAATTTGAATAAAAAGTCTTTGTCCAGTGCTGCGAAAGCGATGTTGATCAAAAAGAGAGTAAGGAAGAAAAGATGAGTCTTTTTTTTTTGAAAAAATAGAAAGATCCAACCACGCTACCCTACCATGCCCATATCTGCTGTAAAATAAAACTTTTATTCTTCCTTGTTCACCGCTGGTCAGATCATTAATTCCTTACCAATCTACCACGAAAACAGTCAAATTAGCGTAGTTAAGACTAAAAAACAAGTCTGTAATCTTATAATATTAACCATGGCTTCCGGTTAAAGTGATAAAGTACTTTCCAGAAATTTTAATGGCTGAATCTAATAACATACCTAACGTAAAAAATGTTAACCAGATTTTTAAAAAATTTTAATTTGTAAGAGAATTTAAAATACGGAAAGGCATTTTTTCTGAAAAATATAATAAATCCATAAACAGCTATTTCATAACCCTGAACCCGAGAAAAGTGGCAGATCTGGCAAAATCTTGTTTCCTCGTTTCTGCCAATTCAATTGCATACATTTTACCATCCTCTGACGTCGACATAACCGGAACAAGAGCGGCAATTAATTTGTGCGAAAAACACGGTAGAGGATTACGTCCCATAAACACAACACGTACGTATGTAAATAAACAAAGCCTACTGTTGGCTGGGGCTTCACCGTGGTCTTTGAAGTGTAAAACGAAAAGAAAACAAAAAGGATAGTGTAGTGACAATAAACATAGACTGTGAGGTGGAATACAATTAATGTAAATCGCCTAAGACAGTACCTCTACTGTTTATAAAAATGGTTACTAGCGCAGACGCACTTAAGCACTAATGTACTCTATAGTACTTTATCCCTACCTTTCTCTACACATTCCTACAGTACCCTACCTTAGTCTAAACAACCTTACCCTACCCAACAGCTCTATAGTTTACCATTGCCTACCTTGCAATACTATAATTTAATTAAGCCTACCCCAAACAACAGTTGCTCACCATGCTTAACATACCCAATCACTTTACATTTTCAAAAACTTCAAACTTTTCAAATTCAAATTCTGTCAAAGCTCCAAAAATATTCGAAAAAGAATCTGTCTGGCCGCGGCTCGGCCTCTAATTACTAAAAAATTTATTTTAGGCCGTGGAATGGTTTCCTGTTTCATTCAGAACCTCATATTATACTGGTCGTTATAATCGCTGACGTCGGTGCAATAAAGAACCGACCGTTTTGCACATTTCAAACATTCCAAAAAGCAATTTAAGCGGCCGGAAGTCGAGAGCAACGCCTCAGGAATAAAGATACGAGCCGCAGGGCATTTGCGCTTGTTTCAATATTAATAGAAATCACCGTATCATATTACGATTGGATACACGTGGGATAGGAAGTCGTACGGTAGGTTGTTTTTGCAAAATTTTGGAAGTAAAAGTAATGTAAAAATAGATTTACATTGTTTACATAGCATATTCTGTTTTTGAGCTGATAAAACGTAGTGCACTGTGCAATTTTTCAAAATTATTAGATTGCATCGTGCAGTTTGCCCATAATTTTTAGAAAATAATGCTTACTGTAATTTTTTCTACAACAATACCTCAAAATTTTGCAAAAAGTGTACTTATACTGCTACTTACCATCCTGCCAAATTTCGTTCGTATCTCTGCACTTTCAAAAATTTGTTTTTGAACTCCGCGCCAAATTGGCATTACGTTCCAAGTCCATTCTTCATGCCTATAATCAATTCCCGTATTACAATAAGCCCACATATGCATAAAAAACGGACGAATAACATCACCAACTAATAAATCAATATTACTGATAAGTAACTACCAAAAAACTAAAATATTACGTTATTAACCAACATCCAACCAAAAACCAAGCCAATCAATTGTATGTACATTTAATGATAAGCTAAAGACGAATATAAACAAAAAAGAAAAACTAAAAAAACGTATCAAAATATTCAAAAATACAACAATATCAGATGATTTAATGGCATTCGTTCTCAGTGTACAGTAGGACTACAGTATGATACAAGAGAGAAAGTGATCAAAATACGTGAGGTCACATCGTATCCATTCGTTCGTCGTATCGTGTCGATCGTTGGTGTTGTTCGGCAAAGATATTCTGTTCTGTTACTGCGTCGACGTAGAGTTGGGCATAGTCGGCTGGTAGGCCACAGGTTTTGCCCATTCTTCGAGCACAGGCCAAGTGGGCGTAGATGTTACAGTCTGAAAAGGTAAGGCAATATAACAGTTTTAATTTATCAGCTAAACATTTCTATAATCATTTTAAAAATAAAAAGTTTTGTCGTTTTTTAACATACAAGTCTATGTAAAATGACGACAAGACTTTTTAAACCTAATATTTCTCCAAAATAATGATTTAATGTATTGTTATCAGTCTAAATCTCAGCCCCGTGTCCTTACCTCTACACTTAGCAGCGGTCGAAACCGCTGGCAGGTTTTCCCTGCACCGTGCACACTCGTACGACTTCTTTTGCATCGCCATCCAGACTCTCTTGAATCTGTGTGCTATTTCGTGTCGCATCATTCCGTACTTCAAAGTTTGTGACTTTGAACTGTCACTGTCAATAGGCTCTTCATCGTCGTATTCTAGTCGATTCTCCTTGTCTAATGGCTCTTGTGTGAAGACTGAAGCGTCGTCGGATTCTGAAGCTGCTGGTTGAAGGCGACGTTCGTACATATTCTTCCAGTACAGCATCGTTTCTTCGGTTTTTGTGAATTTGTTTCGCAGTTCGTGGAGGTCTTCTTCTCGGTCTTCCTGAAAAATTGAAAAAATAGCTAAATTTAGGTAACAAAATCAAATTTTTGAGTCATTTTAAAGCCTTCTGGCGCCTTATACAAAAATTTTAAATTAGGTACTAAAACCTACCAGCTGACAGTAAATTCGTTCCAATTCCTTTTCTTTTTCAGCCTTTTCTGATTTGATTTGTGACAATTCTTCATTCTTAGCTTGTAGCTTAATAACGGCGTCGTTCAATGCTTTGGCCGCTTCCATTGTCTTTCGCTTCAAATCTGATTCCATCGAGGAGTTGTCCTTCTGAAATAAGCTCCTTTTGATAAGTTTAGCTTATCATAGTTGTCAAAATTTTATTTTACTTTACAAAAATGTAATATTTTACTTTACCTCATTGTAGAAATCAACCTACTTTAACAACCAAAAGCCAACATTATACCAACTACATAACAACAATATTATACTAACCCACCCCCTAAACCCTAAAACTTTTCAAAAACCAACCCGTACCTCTCGTTTTAAAACGTTCAGCTCCGCTGTCCTTTCCTTTAGCAATCGTCTTTCAGCTGCCAACTCCTGTTCCAATTGTTTCTTCTGATTCTCAACAAAGACATTGAGTTTCTCTTCGACCGGTCGCTTAGCTGGTGCAGCAAAGTTTTCTTTCTGAGCCAAGGCCAACTTCTTGGTTAGATCTGCCAATTCTCCGCGATATTCGACATGAAGGGTCTTGACTTCTCGCTAGAATTGAAGGATTATTAAAATACATATACGCATAAATTGCTGTACTTTTAAAATTATATATACACAGCTTCGTATTTTACCAAAAACTTATCTTTTTTTCCAAAAATTTCATAAAATAACCCAAACAAGATTTGTAAGCATCTCAAAACATAAACCTCATTGTTATCCAAAATTTAGACAAGAATTTTATCAAAAACATCATCAATTCAAACACAAGACCCTCAATGATAAACAGAACACTAAAGATAATCACATACCTCCTTCAATGCCATTTTATCCTTAGTACGGCCAAGTTCTTCCTTTAATTTGTCCATTTCCACCTTCTGAATCTCAACATTCGTTATTCGGCGTCTTAACTCAGCAATTTCATCGGTTTTGGAAGCGCATTTCTGCTTCCATGTTTCCATTTCATCAGCGAAGAATTGTACCTGGTTCTGAAATCATTTTTAGGTAATAGTTGCCTGACTTTGTGAATAAACACTCTTTAAAAATTAAGCTTTATATATAAGTTTCATTTTATTTTCAAAAAAATCAATATCTCAACTTTTTTAGGTAACAAAAGACCAAAATTGCTAGCCCAACACTAAAGCCAATCAAACTTCAATCAAATTTAACAAAAAATCTCCCTGAGCCACTAACATCCACCAAACCCTCCCTTACCGCCAACTCCTCGCATTGTTTATCCTGTTGTCTGACAAAGTCCTTCAACTTGGTCGTCTGATCTTCCAACTTAACAATAAGTGAGTTCAACTTCTCAGTTTCTCCCTTAGACTCAGCTTCAATCTTCTCCAACTTCTCCCTCAGCTCTTTTTCACTCTTCTTGGCTACTTCAAGATCATTGACAGCCGACTGCCTCAATTTCTTTTCGATATTAACATCCTTTTGCATATCAACCAAGTCCCTCAACGTATCTTTGTGCGCCTTCTCCATTGTCTCCAATTCTCGTTCTTTAGCCACCAAATCGCTTTTGAGTTTGAGGAAGTCGCACCTCAACTTAGCTTTTTGTTGTTTAACCAAACTAATCTCGTTGCCAAGGATCTTGTGAACCTCATCCATAGATTGACCTTGTTCTTCTAGCTCTTTAGTTAGGGTTTGAGAGCTGGTACGTACTTGATCTAGCTCGGTTATGCTTTCTTGTAGAGCCTTCTCGAGTTCTGCACAACGAGCTCGGCACTTGTCTAGCTCTTCGTTTAGCTGCTTGTTTAAATTATCTTCTGTTTCTAAGGCATGTTGTAGACTTCCTACTATCTAAAACAAATAAGTTAAAACATTTCTTCATCAACAACGTCGTTAGCATTTAGTTATTAATCAAAAACTAGTTTATATATCAAACTCATCCAATAACATGCTTTTGACATACCAATAACATAATTAAAGTTTACTTTAAACCAATATAAAACAGTAAAAGAACTTACACTTGTGTCTGAATAGCCATGTCGCCCATTCTCCATTTCGATACATTTCTTCTTGTAGCATTCACATTGGTTTTTATACTGTTCCAGTTGTAAATTCAGTTGTTGATTTTCGTCAGTTCGCTAAAAATAGGCAATAACTTTCTTTCCACAATCAAAAATTTTGTAAATAACCCCAAGTTGTAATTAAATTTATGTTTAAAAGTTTATTATAGCCCTAGGAGAAGAAAGTTTATAATAGCATTAGAAGTAGGCGTCTACTATAACATCCGTAACGTTAGAAGTAAAACAGAAACAGATAAACTTCAGTGTTTCCCATCTTCCGCTTTACCTTTTAGTCCCTGAATCACCAAAAAAACCAAATCAGCAGTCTAATTTACATAAGTTTGTCCACAAAACAACCAAATTCTACCCATTTTTCAACATTATTAATCAAAAAACTCATTTTCCCATCCAATTTTCAAATTCAAAATTAGCCTACTTCAAATCCAATCAATGCATCAACAATAAACTCAAAAATCTCATAGATAAAATCAAGTATTTTGAATAATATTAGAAATAACATATTAGAATATTAGGAAACGCCGCCGAAAGCGGCGCGAAACGCATCAGAAGAATGTGACCAAAACGAACGCTAACAATAAATATGCAAAAACACGACTCACAGTTTGCAAGCGATGGGTCAGTTCGGTCACTCGTTTACGCAGCTCCAAAACTTCGGCCGAATCCTCGGGTTTCTCGTTGATCGACATCTTCAATGCCATTTGATCGCTCTTCAACTCGGCCAACAGCTTGTTCTTCTGGGTCAGTTCTCGACGAAGCTTCTCCACTTCCTTCACTATCTCTTTGTTCTGTCGATACTGAAAAACAACCAAATTTGCATAATTTATAGGTAAAATTAGATTTCTGGAAAAAAGGTAAGAATAATATTAAAATTTGCCGCTGTATAACAAGCAGATGCTCTCATTATGTTAAAAAATTAATGTCAAACGTTACTCAAAAGATAAAATATGTAAAAAACATAATATCATACCTTAACCTTAAATTCCGCACAAAACTTTTAATAAACAAAAAATGATATGAAGTGTAATATAACCTTAAAAAAAGTTTTTGTCTGCGGAAAAAATGTAAAAATAATTTTAAATTCGTTATTATTCCATAAAAAACTAACGTAATAAAACATTTTTGATTTAGAACCCTTAAAGACACACGAATTTTGATCTAGTGCATTATAAAGCTAAATAAGATAACAAAACTAAACGTTTTTATAGTCAAAACAATATAAAAAGTAATTTACGACAAGCTGCTACCCTTATTTACCTTTCCCTTCTAAAACAATAGCTAATTTACAGCAAAACGATTCGCTTTCATTCGATCAACACCACAATCAGCTAATATCCCCTAAAACATAAAACAATCACTGAAAACACTTACAATAGCATCATTTTTGTTCTTCTCCTCAATCAATTTAGCTGTGGCATCTCTTTCACGTTCTGCTAGTTCTCGAGCCAGTGATCTAAACACCAATAACATGAAAAGAATAACAATAACTTACCCCAAGCCTTCCACTTCTCGATCAAAATGATCCGTCTGGAATGTGCTAATGCGACGGTGGAAGTCCTCCAACTCAACTATATAATTCTCACCCATTGTACTTTATGTCGAAATAACGAAACTAGTCTATTGTATATTAGATATTGGCGTTTATTTGGCGAAACGAAGAAAAAATAGCGAAAAATTCGGCGTTTTTTCGTTTCGAACGGCTTTTTAGCGGGCAAACGTTTTCCACTCGGGACCGTATCGTGTATTATATTGCTTTACGAAAAGATGTTTTATGTGTACACAGTGTTATGAGACTGTCATGTATTTGTTAGTCCAAAACTGTAAACTGTATTATAAAAAGTTTAACGAAAAAATTTAGTTTTCGAAAAATCGACCAATTTGAACATCAGTGCCTTCACTGAGCGGTCGCTTTTATTCACTCTAAAATCAAATCTGTTTGATTTGTCTGTTTGGCATCGCAGAACCTTGGAAAGTGTGTCAAAATGTTTTACGAATCGATTCTCTATTATTTGATTGCTGTTTTCACGTCAGGCTTGGGAATTTTATTTATCTGTGGGGGAGGGAACAAAAACAAGTATGAAAAGTTCGAACCACCGCAGCGAATGGTCAACGATCGACCGGTGGTAGCACCGGTAAGTAATTCTATATATTTGTTATTTTTAAGCGGTTTTGTGGATTTTTCTGAAGGTTTTGAACTTTTAAAAACTTTGGATTTTTTTTTGTTAAAAATGGGTGTCAAAATTGTCCTAGTTTAACCATTTCCTCGAGCACTTTTCGTTTTTTTAAATTTATTTTTTGTCATAATGAGCAGTTGATAAAGTATTTTAAAGTTTTTTAATGGACAGTTAATAAAAAGTGTTTTAAAACTTTGAAAACGGACAGTTAAAAAGTGTTTTGAAATAACGGTTGTATCATTTTAGCCGCCTCCATTAGCAAAACCTCCAGAAGCAAAACCTGTAGAAAAGAAACCAGTCAATCAGTCGAAAAAGGATGTAAAACCAACACCGCCTGCTAACCCAGAGGTAAGAAAGACTTATTATTTTTAGATTTTTGCGTTCAAAATCTTTAATCTTGAGCTACTTTTTGATATGATTAACGCCTAAAAGCCTATTTTCTTATTTCAATTTTTTTAGAAATCAAAGAAGAAACAAGCAAAGAGTAAAAAGGAAGAAAAAGAAAAGTCCAAGAAGGAAGAATCCAAGAAACCGGAAGAAAAGAAGGAAGAAAAAGAAGACAAGAAGTCTGAAAACAAGAGTGAAGAAAAGAAGGAAGAGAAGAAAGAGGAAGGAGACAAGAAAGAAGAAAAGAAATCAGAAGCGAAAGAGGATAAGAAGGAAGAGAAGAAGGATAACGATGTGAAACAGAGCATGATCAACACGCTAGATGATGGTAAAAGTCGGAAGCCGGACGATGGGTACGACAACTTGGATCCGAATCAAGGCCCTGATGAAAATTGTAGGTTTATATTTTTTGGTTTATGGGTAGGGCAGGGGTGGTTATTTTGAACAGTGGGGAGTAGGGGGGGGGGTGTTTTTTTCTGGAGGTTGGAGGTGAGGGAGGGGAAAGCGGGTAATGAATGTCGACTTAAAAATTGAATTTTCGGTACGAAGAAGTTTTTTTTGTGAAACTTTACTAAAATTTTTCTGACTGTGGGTCCCACCACGAAAATCCTGAATTTCAAGAACATGTGTATTTTTTTGCAAAATGTGTTAGGTGGTGAAGGATAAGATCTATTAACTATATTTTTTCGTTTTTAGTGGTGGTGCCAGACAATAAAGACGAGAAGAAGGAGTAGACGACTGAATGTTCTTATTGGTCTCAATAAACTTGGCTTTCTACTGGATGTATTTGGCTTTTTGAATTGTTTTTTTTTCTGTTTTTATTTGATTTTGGGATAGTTTTTCAGTTTTAAAACGATATTTATAAAAATTTTTTAATCTTATTATGTCTAAAATGATTTTTCTCTGTTTCTCGTCAGTACAAGTCCAATTCTCAATTTTGTCATGGTTTATTTGAGCACACAGATTCGCTTTTTTGTCATGTACAATACCCGTAGAGTGATGGCTTATCTTATTGTAGTAACCCGAGGTCTTCTTCGTCACGAAAACTATAATTTATGGTACCATTTGAGGCGAGCGCGCGATACGACAGACTCAGAGATCGTCGGGCGGAATCGAGGCCTGCGAACTTTCTTCGATGTGGATCAGCGGCTAAAAAACGGGAATTTAGTCAAAAATTAAAAAAAATCATTTATAAAAATATTTTGAATTGAAACAGCAAAAGAAATTTTTCTTAATATTTTGAAATTGATGTTTTAGTCCCACCACGAAAACCTTGAAAATAGGGAAAATGCAGTTTTGATTTTTTAAAACTATTCTTTATAATAAAAAGTGTCACAAACGGCCACATGCCCTGTATTGATTTTTTTATAATTATGTGTGGTCTCATAACGAAAACCTTGAAAATCAAGGAAATTTTCAAAAATGACTTAAAAGTCCATTTAGTAGTTCACAATATTAATTTTAATACTTAAAAATCAAAAATCGACCAATTTCTGATTTTAAAAAACTATGTTACACACAGTAAATCAACTTACCACGATCTGGACGCGCGGAATCTGAATCTCGGCGCTGTGCGGTGGCGAGTCCATTTGTTGTAGAACAACTACTGGCAGATTCGGAGGTGGAGCGACGCCGATGGAACCGCGCGGCAACAGGAAGGTCGTCGTGGTGGTTTCGGGCGCCGACTTCTTGCGATCCCAACGGCCGTGCTCCGTCATGTCCTGAGGGCTCGACGCATCCTCCTCGCTCCAGTTGCCCGCCCAACAACATAACACGATCTTCCTGTAAAGAGTGGGGTAAAATATTGATTTGGGGTAGATTTTTGAGTTTTGTACTATATCAGAGTGTGGAAAAGTCTTGTCGTTTTTTAACTTGTAAAACTGTGTAAATTAACGACAAGACTTTCTTAATTACTATAATATTAAAAACTATAATAAAACCTATGTTATAATACGTAATATACGTTCATGCTACATCGAATTCTATGTGAACTATTAGTATAATGACAACTGTCTATGATATCAAAATCTCGAAAAGTTTTGTCGTTTTTAACGTTAAAAGCAGTGTAAACTGACGACAAAACTTTTTTTGTTTTTTTTTTGTTACGAACTATGATAATCACTATGTTATATAAATACATATAAACGCTATGTTACATATAATACTACAATATATGGCTATATATACTTCATATCAATTTACATTAAAAATGACATTCAATTACTGCAAAAACGTTATTCTGTACTACAGTATGTATAAAGGAATCCAAAGGTACTTCCCGTCATTTTTAGGTACAATATATTACTTCAATTGTACTCAGCTACGCCCAAAACTAAAATTTAGGTACCTTTGGTCTACCTTTATATCACTACAAACCATAAAACTAAAAGCACTCAATTATCTTGACAATCTATACAAAATATATATATCTATGCCATACTGGCAACATACTATTATGTATTACCCTAACTGACCCAAAAGTTTACAGTAAGCTATACAAATATAAATTTACAACCAACTGATAACTCTCGATGACGCCACACCATTTGATGTCCAGGTGAAGGTTGTTGTCCACGGCAGTTTTTTTTTGAAATTCAGGGGTAGATAGATTGGGAAAAAAGTTTTTACACGCCACAGCAAACAGGTGTTAGTGCATACGGTAATGAAAGAAAAGAGCTTTGCTTTGTACTGTAATATAAGTGGGAATAAAAACGTAAAAGTCGGAAGACAAAGCAAGATAGGGGACGATAGGGTAAAGTAAGGTCGAATTGAAAAGAGTAAAGCATAGCAAAGTAAGATAGGGCACAATAGAATAGTACTTGAAAGGCTAGAGCATAATAGAGCAAAGTAGGGTAAAATAGAGTATGACAGGGCATGTTTGTGAAGAACAGGATGAGGTAAGTCAGACTAGAGTAGAGAACAAAGTAGGGTAGGGTGGGGTAGGGTAGGGTAGGGTATGATAGAATAGGATATTGAAAATTAATTTTGTATATATATTACAGTACAAAACAGTGCAGTATAGTAATTTTCAGTACTAAACGTTTCAAAATATTAACTATCAGGCACTCTCACAGCATACAATAAAGGTTAGTGGTATACTATATGTTTTTACATAGTAAATGTAGCACAATAGATGTAACAAACAGCGGTTGTGACAGAATTACAGTGTTCACGGCACACAATTGGAAATATTTTATTGAAATTTAATTTTTTAATGTGTTACATAAAATAAAATTCGTATTTTACAAAAAAAAATTTTTATTTCAAGAACTATTTTTATACTAAAACAGAAAAAAGATTTTCATACCTAAAATTAAAAAAAACAGTGCAAGTTAAAAGTGCAAAAAGTGAGTTGGAAAAAAAGCGAAAACAGAAGAGAACGTTAATCTCACCGTGCCGTGATCAACAAAGCCCTCATCCGACCATCGAGTGTTATCAGTGCTCTCAACTGCACCGTACTTTGTTGGAGTGATGGTTGAGCGTACCAGTCGAGCACCATCGTCCAGTCCATTCGGTTGAAAGGCCGAAGCCATTGAACTGATCGAGTTTCGAGGTCCAGTCTTGAAGAAGTTTGGAGTTAGCCAGCCGTTTCGAGGTGTCTGGCAGCCTGAAGGCAGATTCGACTGGTCGATGTTGCCATTTGGAGAGAGGAGGGATGAAGGCCGAGGTTTGCAGGATTGGGCCATTGGTTGAGGATCTTCTTCTTTGGCCAGGAACTCTTTAATGCATAGAGGCATTAGCTGGATGAAGGCGGCACGGAGTTGGAGGTTCATCATGGCGTAGAGGAGAGGGTTCCATACCTAAAATTTATTTGCATTTATGTCTAATATTTATGCTGTAAAATATATACATCTGAAGTTACATTACTACCTATAATTAGATTTACAGATACATTAACATCTATATCATCCCCAACTTACAGTAGAAGTCATAGCCATGCAGTGAAGTGAAATACCGACGATATACTCCTTCTCCAGCACGTACGCTGGCAGTAGTTCGTAGTCTTTGAGTACGTTGAATACCACACTCCATACCCAACTCAATGAGAAGGCTACTACCATCGCTATAAACATACGATTCGTACGTTGACGACGTTTCGTAGCCGCACGATGTTGGTCGTTCATTTGGAGCTGCCACTGATAGTCACGTTTCTTGCCTTTTAGGATCATACTCTGTAATGTATGACTTATATTATAATGTAGTAGGTATATAATATGATGTAAAGCTATACTACCAAAGTATTATAAAATGCTACAGTAGGTTTAAAATACTGTCGCATCTTCCTTTATTTTAGAGTTTTTGATGTAAAATACGAGGCGTACTGTGAAAATTGAAAATTCCATGTAAAAAACTGTAAAAACAAATATCTTACCTGCCCAAGCCTCACAGAGATGGCAGTGTAACATACGATGATAATAGACAATGGTATAATAAATTGTACTGATAGTACGATAGTACCATATGCTCTTCTTTGACTCGAGTATGGTCCCCAGTCTTCAAAACAGTACATGCCACAGTAATTATTGATTTTTGTCAACGTGTGCATCAACGCTACGGGCATTGACAAACCCATCGCCATGGTGCATATTAACTGAAATGGCATTTTTTAAAACTTTTTTTAAAGATTTAAAAACTTATGTATACGTAATATAAGTATCATATATTGTAAAAGATAGTATAAAAAGCCATTTTAACTTTTTCTTAACAAAAAATTTAGCGTTCGTATTGTATAGTACTACAAATAGTAGTAGTGCTATGTAGCACCAAACTCAAAAAAAATTCAATTAAAAAACATGCACTCACACATATTATCATAAAAGCTTGTGTATGGCTGAATGGCTTCTTCATCGGAAATCGTATTAACATAAACCGGTCGATTGATATTGCTGCTAAGGTAAATGTTGAGAATGATAATGAGGTACCCTGAAAAGATTTTTTTATTTTTAAAACTTAATTTTTAAGCCTAAAAAGGTTTTTTTAAATTTTGTTTTGCTTATATACTGTACATACAAAAAATTTTATCGTTTTTTAATATGCAAATCAATACTAAAAAACGACAAGATTTTTTTTGTGTCTCTAATTAGTTAAAGTTTAATATATTGCCATTTTTTATTATAATTTAATGTTTTGCCAACTTTACTCAATATTAAAGTTGTTGTTTAACCTTTTTTATTACCTAATTTTAATATTTAAAAAGCCACCTATTGGGAACGTGTAAAACCGTAAATATTTCCAAAAATAGCCATAATTGTTAATCGTTTAGAATTGGCAATCTCAATAGCCATCCTCAATTTACATAACTATTTTTGGAATGTTCATCAAATTTCAAAGTATAATTAGTTGTTCGTGAGATTTGACAGAGTCCGCTGGGATTAGAAAAAAAGTACAAGTAAAGTACCCAACTGTGAGAAATGCGGTTTAGTACTAACTAGCAAAGTGCTAACCTTCCCCGCTTAGAAAGAAACGTTCTGTAACAGAACTTTTGGCGCACCTTGTAGTATATCAAAGAAAAATAATTAAAAGTCAAAAAATGACAAAGTTATAAGCTTGAAACACAATGCCAATTTGTCAAGAAGTTTAAAACGTAATGTTTGATTTTTTCAAGATTTCTTGGTTTGTTGAACTTGTTCAGTAAAAAAACCGTATTTTACATTTCACGGACAACAAAACCTCATTTTTTGTTTTCCTAGCTTTGAAAATTGAAAAAAGTAAATTATCCAACCCAAAAATGCAATTTTCACCTACACTCACGGTTTCCACGTCATTTGTCTCAAAGTAGACAAAATTTTTTGAAAAAATAAAACAAAAGTTTGTATGTATAATATTATACTTTAATACTATTTTGTATGTATTGTACCTTAATAGTACCTTCAATCATAAAAAAATAAAAATTTATAAACGTACCGCTAAGAATGGTGCTACAGAACAAAGCACAGAGCCGAAGAGCCACACCTTGGCAAATGCTGTTATAGGTGTTATGGTGGCTGACGTCAAGCATACCATGAAGTCAGAACATGATAGAGAAAATATAAACATGTTTGGGACTGTTTGTAGTGATCTGAAAATGTCATTTCTTGTTTAGAATGTCAAATTTTACATAGTACTTTTGAATTTAAAAAAATATTTTTAAATTAATTTTTTTTTCAAATTGTCATCTAGGATAATGTAAATTTATATGTCTATGAACATTTATATATCTATTGTAAAACAAGCCCTATTTTAATTCTCTTTATTACACCAAGTTTGTCGTGGATAATTAAGCAATCTAGGGTTTCTAGCAGACCAGGAAGTGTCAAAACTAAAAGGATTAGCATAACAATATCAAGATTACAGGATATTTAAAGAGACAGACGTTTTGGTATTTTGATTTACGACAATTACAAGAATTTTTTTAAATATTTTGTGGTTTCAAAAAGTTATGACACCATAAAAAATGTCATAAAAAGTCTAGTTGTCTATGTATAGGATATGATAAGGTAAGATAGGGAATAACATAAGGTAGGGTAAAGTTTTTAGCTTTTTATGTGCATGACAATGTTTAAATAAGCAAATTTTTTGGTGTTTTCAATCTCCATTCGTCACTTTCCAAGTTAAAATATTTAAAAAATTAACTTCTAACCCCAAATTTGCTAAAATAATTGACCCGGAACCCATGGTCAGCCAATTTCTGGTCGATTGATGTCATTAGCAACATGTTAACATGTTCGTACTTGTTTCCGTCCTCTTCCGTCCCACATGCCCTTAATTCAAAGCGAAGGACCTTATCGTTAAATAATTTACATCAAAAGTTGCTTACAGACAGGCAAATGAGGAAATGATTTTTTAATTAACCTCCGCGGAGAAATAGTATAGAGATTAAGAGAGACGGCAGAGCAAAGGAGAGAAATGTGGGATTTAAGCTTAAACAAGATTGTTAAATATTTTTTTTTTAAATTTTGAAAAATTTTTCAAATTAGAAGAAATTTTAAAAATTTCAAAAAAATTTTAAAATACTTGAAAAATAACATAAAAATCCTAAAAAAAACTTACTTCGTTCTGGAAATGGCCAATATGACACAGAGATTACCCAAACATCCGCAGATGATGATCATAGAGTAGAAGAAGGCGAACAGCCCCCATACCCATAACTGTGTGGTCGGATCTCGTCGCAACACCCATAGCTGTTCATTCACAGATACACATTGGGTCGAGATATTTGGCTCCAGCATTTGACACGCCTTTATGCAGGCGGCTGGTGGCGCTGAATTTCCTAAAATTTTTTTAAAGTTTTTAAATTTTAAAAATTTTAAATTCTAAAAACTTTTTAAAAAATTTAAAACGCGCAATTTTAAAGAAAATTAACAGAAAATCCTTGTAAAAGCTAAAAAATGTAAAATACGGACGTTGTTCGTTCATGTTCAGTAAAATAAAATATAAAGTTGTCAAAAAAGTCCTGTCGCTTTTTTACGTGCATTTGTACGTTAAAAAACGACCAAACATTTTTTTATAATTTAACAACCAATAAAAAAATAAAAATACTTATAAATAACCAAAATACATGTAAATACTCTATGAAATCTTAACATTACAACCTCTATCTCTCAAACAATCCCATCCCTCAAAATGTCATAAACAAAATCATTATAGAAATTAAAATATCTTCATCTTCTTAAGAGATTTCCGAATATTTCAATTATAAAAAGAGGCTAAAACAACATCGTATGTATATTATGTATAACGGATTATGTGCTTACAATAGCATCACTCAAAATAACATAGTAAGTATTATGGTAACAGATGGCACGGTAAACAATTTAATGAGTTAACTTTGGCTTTAAATTCCATTTTTTATCGTTATCAATTTAAAAACAAAAAAATTATTGACCATACAGATAGTAAATGTTGCACTAAAATAGTTTTTTGAGAAAATTGCAATACATTATTAGAAGGTTTAAAAAAGACCGTTTCACAAAAATTGATTTTTACAGTAAAATAGTATTATAGTTGTTATCGGCTAGTACTAGTCAATATAAAATAATACTAAATAAAAAGATAAAAAATAGTACTATATAGTATTAATCAAATTTACTCCCTCTCTCCACCTCTCTTTATATTACACACTTCAAGACCATGAGATGCCACCCTAAGAACTCCCTTTACTTTTCACCCTTACCCCAACTCTACAACCCTCCCCACCTATTCCTCACGCTTTTGTCATCATCATGTGGTTGTTAATGTAAAAAGCTGTTGGGGTCTTCTTCTAGTGTTCCCTCTTCTCCCCCCCTTGCTTAAAATCTGAGTTCATCCTTTTCTTGCCCTCCGGGGCTCTAATGGACGAAGAGAGAATTGGATGAAACTCCAACAGGGATAGTGTTTTTAGTACACGAAAAGTAACCTGATTAGCGTCATTTGGGGCCACAAAACTCTGGAAACACTTGGCGTTACATGGAATCGAACCGAGCGCTCATCGAGTATGTATATGGAAAGGAATGGCAACAACAAAGTTACGAGGAAAACTTGGGTTTGAGTCGGGAGTTATAAAAAAAAGTTTTAAATTTGTCTTATTTGTCATAGAAACAATACAGTACGGTAAGGTAGCAATACTATTCAGTACAGTACTATATTAGTACTATAAGTGCTATGAATGATAAGTAAATATGATGTACATAGTACGGTCCTAGTATAACAAAAAAAAACTTTGCAGCACAAAATGTACATAAAAGTAACAATATAACAATTGTATCATACATGACATATATACCTATAAAAATCAAACAAATAAATCTATAACGTACCATATAAGTACCATATACCTTTAAGAAGTGTCATCAAAACCTATGTGAATCTATAAAACGTATACGATTGGATTTGTTCCAAAAATAGTGTCTATATAAAAACACGTACTTATGTGTACTTACTAAACAGCACGGTTCTGTCCTTTGTATGTTGACATAAAAGTAATAAAAATTTAAAGAAAGCAGCACATAAAAACATATTTATATTATTACATATGTATATATAAAGTTAAAAAAATAACTGGTTTTAGCTTTAATCTATACTGATCTTCTTGAACGACAGTACTAAATAGTATAACCGATAAAAAAGTTACAATTTATTTTAAGTTTTTTAATTAAATCAGCTTTAAAAAATATAAAATGACTTCCTCTACCCTATCCCTCCTCTCATTATAAACAAATTGTCATACTTATAGTATTCATGTAAACCCTTTGCCCTTGCTCTCATGTATAACCGATTAGAATACATTGCTTCCCATAACTTGACCTTTAACAAAAAGCCCCAATTCAGCTGGTGCACTTAAGTTATTACAAAATAACAGTTGAACACAATACTATACTCATAAAGAAAGCGGTAAGCACAATACCATGCTCATAAATAAAAAAAGAAGATGACGATTCATATGCAAATATGTTCTGAGAAGTTGGAGACACACGGCCTTAGGGCCTAATAACTCCACTCTCGGTTAGGGCGGGTAATTGGGGGCTCTTTTATTAATAGTACCATGAATTTATAAATACAACTTGTGTATAGTGCTAAGTTAGAAGATAGTTTTTATTTACTTTTAAGAGTTTAAAATTGAAAAATATTACCCATAGTTTCAGATTTTATCGTTATAGTAGCTGCGACAAAGCTAGGCTTTGCAGAAGGGCAAAAAGTAAAAAAAGAGGACCTTTTCACAACAAAAATGTTTTTTTTTAATTCCAAGACCCTGCAGTAAAACCCGCAGGACAAAAATTCTCAAAAAAGTCAACTTACTTTATTCAAAAAATATGCCTTAATTTACCCTCTCACTCTTCTTATAACTGATCAAACCCACTCTCCGAAACACAACCCATGCCCACAAGATATCTTAATAGTACCCTATGTTAATAATATGTTTACAGTAAGTCCAAAAAATATAGTTAAAAGTAAAAAAAAACAAGTAAAACGTAGAAAACACTGTGAACGTTTCCTCGCGCATGAACGACAACAATGATTACATTTCAAAGGTCTTTAGAGACATGCATATTACGGATAACGTGATGTATGGAAGAAAGAAGTGTAAACAATATGTAGTTCTTTAGAATGTTGGCAACATTCTTGTTTTTGAAATTGAAAAGGGTTTAACTATGACAGTGTTACCAGTTTTGGCGTTAAAACACGTAGAAATTAATAAAATCTGAAGACAGGGCTTTGTTGATGATTGATAAATAAGGCTTTGTGAATGTTTGATTATTTATAAGGTAAAAATACTCAAAAGCAAGCCTAAAATGGTAAAAAAGTTTAAAAAATTAAAGCGCACAAGTATTATGGCAAGTCGGTACTTTGCATATACAAGCTTCCAACTACGGCCTTAAATCTTGAGGAGCTCCTTATCACGACTCGTTCACTTAAGAAACGGAATCAGCTGGATAAGACCAATAGTAAAATACGTAGAAATACATAAGTTTTATTTTATAACACAAATGTATCAAAAAATTACTCTCTCAGAACTAGAAACACCCGCTTAACACCAAAAATCACCGGCCCAGCACCAATTACAACATCACTTCAAAACATAACCACTACCTCAATTTTAACCACTGCCATACACTTAATAGTACTTTAAACATCACACCCAGTACGAGCCGTTCATACCTGACACTTATGCATGTAAGTGAGCTAATCTCATATTAACCACGAAAGTGCTTTCTGTGTACGTACTAACGGGCTTCTGGGTACGGAAAATCAGTGGAAATGATTGATTATCCAATTAAAGTCAATGTTTTCAACAAAATGAGAGTAATTGCATATAAAACAAGGTTTTGCCATTGTTTTTGTTTATAGTCGAAAATAATATGGAACTCTGAAAACGGTACGGAATAGGTAAAGAGTGTATGTAGTGCTATATTTAAGAGTTGTGATAAAAATTTAAAATAATCTTTTTAATCCTCTTGAGAGTTATATAGAATACATAGATACATATGAGTTAGATTATTTTTGAATGAGTAATTATATCATTATAACACTAATTTTAAATAGTTTTAACTTATATGTCATCACCTGTGTTTAAATTTTTCTTTTTACATGTAAAAAATGGAAGATTTAAGCTTTTGTTACCTATAATAAAAATGTTTTATAGTTAATGTAAAAAACTTCGTTATAGTGAAAAGTTTACTAGTCTTACCAACTTTTATTTTCATTATTAAAATCAACAATATACGTATCAGACTTTCCAAGAGTTCTTAAACCGTGATTTAAAAAAAAGAAGTCGGAGACAGAGCCGGTGGCAGAGTTTGAACCAAAGCCGCAAATAAATTTTTAAATTTGAGAAATTTGATAAGAACCTTACCGCTGCAAACAACTAAAGCTTACTACACAAACTTCTACAAGGAACTTTTATCTGCAGCACAACAAAAATGGCATGTTATAAGTACTAGTCAAAACACTACATACGACAACAAAACGCAAACGCAAAGATACAAAAAAAACTGCATTTTTGTCAACAACAACTTATTTTACACTTGTTCTGCAAAACTAAGTTAATGTTACAAAATTAAGCAAGAACAGTGAGCTAAACCTGTCTTGTACGATATAGTTATGCTATGAAAGTTCGTACAAACTAGACGAATTGTATTAAACTTAAATTGGCTGAGTATACTAACCATATCATGATAAGCTAAAGATATTAGTATTAAAAACAAACCTCTTATATGCACCATGTTATGACAATATATGTATAATGACTATATAATGGTGAGTTACAGTAAGCATACTATGGCAAGTTAGAATAATCATACAATGACAAGTTATAATCATAACACGACAAACCACATTAACCTTATTAAACTATTGAGTTAAGCATAAATGTGAGTGATTAAACATCTGATTATAATACTAATCTTTTCGCAAAATCAGTAGAATTAATCGGAAAAGTAAAAATATGAAACATGAGTTAATACTTGGCAACATAATGAGGCTGATATCATTTACAATTTTAATTAAGTTTGCAAAGAAATAACTAAAATAGTTAAAAGAAGATTGTAGTAAAATACGCGCATAGCTTTAAGCAACGTTTTATAAATACAGTACTAGTACATTACAATGCTAAAAACTTTAAAAATGAGTAAAAATACTTCCATCTTAACATTGTTAAATAGTAGCTGTTGGCAATTATAAGATTGTCATAGTTTCTTGTAAAAACGGTTACCTGTAATAGATTTTTAAAGATTTACAAAGTAAAATGACAAAA